AAGAGGGGAAGGAGGAGGAGGGGAAGAAAAAAAGAAGAAATTTGGTTCTTTGAAGTATAGAACAATGAGACCTACAAAATTCTAGCATGTAAATACATACATACTACACATATGTATATACATATATGTGTGTGCATCTATAAATGTGTATGTGTGTGTGTGTATATATATATATATACGTATATATATATATATACGTATATATATATATATATGTATATATATACGTATATATATATATATATATATATATGTATATATATATATATATATATATATATATATATATAATATATATATATAATATATATATATACACTTGTGTGGTATGTATATACATACATGCCAAACATAGCATCTACCTCCCAGGGTTGTGAGGGCAAATGAGATATTTGTAAAGCACTTAGAAGACTGCCTGGTACAGAGTAAGCTCTTCATAAATACTTACTTCCTCCCTTTGAATTGTAGACCCAAAGAGTAGTGATTAATAAATTAATGTTAGTTTAGAGTAGGGATTCTTGACCTGCCAACTGAGGATTGGTTGTTGGAACTAGGCATGTTTTGCCTGGAAAGGGGAAAGGGGGGGATCTTTATCTTTTTTTTTTTTTGGCTAGGCAGTGGGGTTAAGTGACTTGCCCAAGGTCACATAGCTAGTAAGTGTTAAGTGCCTAAGGCCGGATCTTTATCTTAGGTTGTCTTTTCCCATTAAATTGTGAGCTCCTCAAGAGCAGGGACTGTTTTTTGCCTTCTTTGTTTCCTTAGCAGAGTGCCTGGCACAGAATAGATGTTTAATAAATGTCTGTTGATTGACTGATAGATCTTAGATTTATGTTTAAATATTTGAAAGGCTATTATATGGTAGATGGTTTAGATTTGCTATTCCGGGCGCCAGAGGTCAGAATTAACTAGCCTAGATTCTGGCCCAACACTAGAAAAACTTCCCAATAACTGTAGCTGATCAAAAATACCACAGATTGCCTCAACAGGTAGGGAGCTCCCTATGTGTCAAATCTTATAGGATCTAGAGCTAAAAGGAATCTTAAAGATCCTTTAGTAGAATGTCTCATTTCACAGATGAAGAAACTGGGGCCCAGAGGGGGTGATGTGATCTACCTAAAGTTGCACAGGCAGCAGAGAAGGGAGTCAAATCCAAGCTCCAGCCCTCTTTATTATACAGCAGTTTGGATGTTACTATGGGTATTTCTGCTCAGATGGAGGTGGGAGGAAATATCTCTAAGGTCCTGTCCCTTCTGACTTGTGATTTGTGATTCTATGTTTTGTGATTCTACAGCCACTCTTCCTTCCCCATCCCTTCCCCCCACCCCCCAGCCAAATTACTAATTGTAGCTGAATTGCCAAAAGATTCAGTTCAGGTGAGCAACAAGTATTTACAGCATTTACATTTAACTCTTGCCAGGCACTATGCTAAATTCCAGAGATACAAATACAAGCACAAAAAAAAAGTCCCAGTCTGAAAGGAACTTATACCCTAATGAGAGAAGAAAGGGCTTGAGCAAGGAAGGGAACATGCCCTCTTAGGGGCTTGATACTGAAGTCTACTGAGCAAGTATCACATTTTTCATTAATCACCAAAACTACATTACATGGAAAATAAGTTAGTAATATCTTATTGCAAAAAGTTGGTTATAATAGTCTTGGGGTTTGTTAGACTGTCTTCCATGCAAATTTAAGGATGTAAATCCACATTTATGAAAGGCTCAGAAATAATAATGTTTTTTTTAATCCTATAGAGACAGCTCTTTTGCAGATCTAATTTTCTTTTTTTATTACTTTGTGTTTGTAACACATGACAATCAACTTTTACTGCTTAATATTTCAACTGAATTTACTCTATTGTTTTACCTAGAAACCGAGGGAGGAAGAATTAAGTCCTGGAACATTAGAGTGAGAAGGGTCTGACACTCATTTTACAGATAAGAAACCAATACATATTCCCTAACGTTATTCAACTCCTAAGGTGTGTCGCCCTTTTCAAATCCTTCACTTTTTAAAAAATTACATCCAATATCCTGTGACAAGAATGTTCTGTCTTCTGAGATCTTTCTAGTGACTTCCTACTAGCTTAAATAAAAGTTCATATCGAAGGTAGTGAACTGTGTTCATACTAACTGTGCTTATTAATCCGATATAGTGATTAACAAATCCCCTGAGCACAAAACCCCCTGATAATTAATTGGCCTGGACAAGTAGGAGTTTGAGAGAAATTCGCATGTCCTCAGTGCTGGCTACATTTTGGCTGAAGTTGGGAAGAAGGCAGTAGACATTGGTACTTTTCTTCCCATGACCTCAGCCCCTAGAGTGCCCCATAAAGTGTAGGAGTCAGATCTGGTTCACACAATCTTTTCTCATTTGAGTGCAGGGGGAAGGCACTCTCTGGACCATAGCTATGTTAGGACTCAAAGCTCCCTCAGAACTGGGGAAAATCCAAAAAAGTGAGAGAATCCCCTTTCCATGCTTTGCCAGGAGGAAAGAATGGAAATGCATGGTCTGCAGTGCATCTTCATGCCCCTGATCAATCAGTCTAAAAGCATTTGCAAAATACTATGTGCTAAACACTCAGGGTTACAAAGCAAGGCAAAAACAGTCCTTGCCCTCAAGAAGATTACATTCTACTGGGGAAACTATGGAGATGGGGGATGGAACAGGGAGTAAACCAGAATGACTAGACTCTTAAGAGTACTGTGTAAGAAGACTGGAAAAATAGGAAGGGGTCAGATTGTGAAGAGCTTTAAATATCAAACAGAGGAGTATATATTTAGTCCTAGAGATGATTGAATGGGAGAAGATGCATGCTTACCTCGGTCCACTTGTCTAGTACCTACTCTGGTCTAATGGTCAAGGAAACAGTTCCCTGGGCCAAGGATTGGATAAAGAGGTGAGGTCGGTTTAGGACTACCGGCCAAATCTCTTCTTCCCCAGGGTGCACTCCAGAATAGATTATCTCTCCACAGTGACAAGAATCCAAAGGGTCTTTGTGGAACTTAGGAGACCAGGTTTATCCCTAAGGCTTGCTTTTCAAAGTGATATCTAAGACCTTAAAGCAATTGGGTCAAGCCATTTTTGGATAAAGGATACCACAGAAAACTCCCAGTATTTTTGCAAGCAAACAGCATCAACTATCTAATCTATTTGCATACACATATGATATCTCCCTCAATAGACCATAAGCCCCTTAAGGAAGGTACTGTTTCATTTTTATCTTTGTTTTCCCAGCACCTAGAACAGTACTTGGCACTGGTAGGTACTTGATAAATATTTGTTAATTGTTTGCTGCTGTTGATGACTTCAGCACAGTCCACTGCATATAGTAATCACTTCAAATGCTTCGGTCTTCATTCACCAAGGTTGAGCCTACTCATGATATTAATTCTGCTGCAAACATGGAAAATGAAATCTAAAAGGCTTATAAAATCTGGCTCTTGCTTTAAAGTTTGAAAAGAGGGATTTATGAACTGAAGAAAAGCTTACCAAGGGCAATACCATATATTGTGTCATATCAGTCCTCAGGTATTCATGTGGGCATATTCACATGTATTCAGTGGGCAGCTAGGTGGCACAGTGGGTAGAATGCTAAGCCTGGAATCAAGAAGACTCATTTTCCTGAGTTCAAATATGGCCTCAGACACTTACTAGTTGTATGACCCTGGGCAAGTCACTTAACCCTGGTTACCTCAGTTCCTCAGATGTAAAGTCAGCTGGAGAAGAAAATTGCAAACCATTCCAGCATCTTTGCTAAGAAAACCCCAAATGAAGTCATGGAGAGTCAGACATGACTGAACAACGACATGTATCCGTGTGAGTCCCCTGGGGAAGAGTGGACCTGGCTACTGGTCTCAGACTTTCCTCACCTCTTCATAACAACCCTGGGCTCAGGAATATAGGGAACCCTTTCATTGACCATCCAGCAGGACCAGGTATTGGACATGTGGCCTGCTACAAGCAGCTATCTCTTCCCTTCCCCTACCTTCGGCCACATTCTAAGGAATTGACAACCACATTAACATTATCTTTGCTACAGTGAAGGGCATGATAAGACCCTATGGCTTCATTCAATATCCTTGTGCTTCTAAATTGCATGTTGCCTAGACCAATTCTCCCTTCCCTACTCCCTCATAACCATCCACTATGGCTCTCTCCCTCCAGTGTTCCTGTCCCATTTAATCCTACCCTTTCATTATGCCTTCTGGAACCTACTCACTTGTTAATGAATTGTACTTCATATTAAATATGTACCCTCCCCCTGGAAATTAGTTTTTATGTATTTTGTATTTGTTTATCATATATATATGTATGTATGTATGTGTGTGTGTGTATGTGTGTATGTGTGTGTGTGTGTGTGTGTGTGTGTGTGTGTGTGTGTGTGTGTGTGTGTTATTTCTTCCCAATAGAATATAAGCTTATTGAGGGCAGGGACTCAGGATATATATTTTGAAGGGAAAAAGTCTTAGAAAACTCACATTTCAGGAAATCCCTATATCTTTTGTCCCTCCTAAATCTAATCACAAGCCTTTGAATTGTTGAAAGCAGAAAGTACCTCTCATCTCAAAATGGACTGGCCTTCATCACTTTTACTTCAGACATCCTAGGCATTTATTTTGGGTTTGTATCCCCAGCGCTGACCATAGTGCCGGGCACATAGAGGGCATTTAATAAGTATTTACTGGATTGAAATTGGTTGGGTTTCAATAGGGGTTCAAGTCACTAACAAGTAGGTCCTATTCATTTATATCACTTTCTTTACATTTAGTAAAAAGACGTGTAATACCTGCCTCCACTAATCTCACCTCAGTTAACTCTGCTAAGACTTGCTGCTTTTGAGGACAATAACTATCGAATAGCTTGACTGGTGCCTGGCAAAAGCCATAAGTACTCACTGAAATAAGATGCTTATGAAGGCAAATGCCCAAGTTAATCTCCCCACTGCTTGGGAAGCTCTCCACATCACTAGTGAGGAGCTGCTCTAAGAATACACAGGAAAAATGCAGTTCAAGATAGAAATCATCGTACTCTTTCTTCTTTTCGGCTATAAAGGTATGGTAGGCACTCTTTATTTGCATGCTGTTTCAGTGGATATTTCTTCTGCCATGCACACTTTCCTTATTAATCTGCCAACTCTCAAGGTCTTGGTGATGTGTCTTCTGATGTCTGTGTAGCTTATTCTAGAGCCAATGTGATTTAGGAAAAGTGAAGAAAAGAAAGATTCTCATAGTTACATTAAATATTCACAAATAGCACTAAAGACTTCAACTTTGATTTTTTTTTTAAGTCTGATTCTAGATTTACTCAAAGTGCTGTCACCTTCTACTCTAACAATAGAAGTAAAAAAAGACAATAGTAGTAGCTTATGCTATATATTTTTAACCTTTTGGGGGGGGCTAGGCAATGAGGTTAAGTGACTTGCCCAGGGTCACACAGCTAGTAAGTGTCAAGTGTCTGAGGCTGGATTTGAACTCTATGTCAGGGTTTACAAAGTGCTTTCCACACATTGTCTCATTTGTCAAAGATTCAGAGATTTTCCAAAAGAGACCCAAAGAGCCAAGATATTTGTGTAATGTGTGTGTCTGTGTGGTACCATCAAGAGACATACACTTAAAGAGGGAAATTTAAAGGATAAACTCAAATTTTAAATAACTACTATATATTTTTCCCTTCTAAATCCAATCACATACCTTCAGACTGTTGAAAGCAGAAAGTACCTCTCCTCTTAAAAAGTATTGGCCTTCACTAGTTTACTTCAGACATTAGAGGTTGCTTAGATTTGGGATTCTAGTGATTGCTTATTTTGTATTTATGTTCTTTATAGGACATGAAGTGCATGACCAAACTGTAGAAGTACAGTCAGAATTCTTAGATTAAATCTTTCAACCCTCACCATACCAATGTGTTCTACACGTATTATAATTTCTTTTCATCACAAAATATGTTGGCATTGGAAAATGGCTTCCTGAAAATTCTACCCCCTGTTCACTATTTTTTGTCTTTTAAATATAATGCTTTAATGATTTTTTTCTTTATTTTTCCCTCTCTTTAACATGTCTGACATATCCCCATTGACTAGCCCTCTCCCACTCCCTGGCCAATAGAACCTTCCCTTGAAATAAATAAGCATAAGCAAGCAAAACAAATCAACACATTGGCCTTGTTCTGAAAAATGCATTCCTCCTTCTGGATCTCTAGTCCCCCCACCTCCCTTCCAGAAGGCAGGAGGCATTCTTTGCCAAGGTCACTGTCCAGAGTCAACTTTTCCACTCAGGAATTCACCATAATAGTTTCTCAAGCCCTACCTTGCCTTTTGTGTTACATTCATTATTTCATCACCTTATCCCAGTAGCTCTCAATTATTTAAAATGTGCTCCTTTTAAAAAAATACCCATCTCCTCATCTTCATTCACCAAGAATATTCTAGCAGATCAGTTCTGTGAATTAAGTTCAAATGACCTCGGTGTAGACTCTCAGCATCCCTCCTAAGATGGTTCACCAATCATGGCAGGTAGCATTATTCCCAGCCTGGCTTGTCCTGACAACTCATCTTAGGCCAGGATCTAACTGGGATGGCTTTCAATGGAAATTTACAGCTAGATGGCTTCTTAGCCCCTCTTTATCTCGCTATCTTTCAAATGAGATAATATTTGTAAAACACTTAGCAAAGTGCCTGGAACATAGGTGGTGCTTATACATGCTCGTTCCCTTCACCTTCTCTCCATTGATATCCTGTAGCAGTATAAAAATCCAATTTTAAAAATGTCTTGAACTTGGTGCTTGGGTACACAATAAGGGCAAAGGTTGTTGGTTTTATTAAAATAAGAAAAGTTCAGATTGAGGTTTCCCTCTAACCACACATAAGCGGTTAGCCCATACAATACTCCTAGGTGGAAATGCAATTAATTAATTGAGTTTAGATTTATCTATTAGTTAATTAATTAAGCAGTAGGTATTACATGCCTGCTACGGGCTAAGCCCTAAATTAGATTCAAAACAAGACTAAGTAGTGCCCTCAGGAAGTTTATGGTCCAGTTAGAGACAAGATTGATACATTTTTCTTTAAAGTAGAAAATAAAACTTCTAATGGTGAGCCACCATTGGACAGCTGAAAATGCTTCTTCAAAGTCGAGATTAACATAGCATGAGCCCACTCTGTTAGTCTGTCACCAGACAGACTCTGTTTTTGTCCAGTGAAGTGTAGTGAGTAGCCAGCCTTTAACTCAGTATCATAGACATTAACTGCTCATTTGGTGTGAATGATTGCCAAAAAATGATTTGTATTTGGATCAGGTAAATGTGAACTGTTAGTATTATTAAATGAAATTTCGTGAGATAGGAAGTGATTTGCTCAAGGTCACACAGAAAGTCAGGAACAGAGCTCTGGGCCAGATCCTCCAACTCCCAATCTAGCACTCTTTCCACTCCACAAAGAAGGCAGGAGGGAGGGAGGGATGGAAAGAAGAAAGGAAAAGAAAAGAAGAAAGAAAGAAGGCAGGAAGAGAAAGAGGAAAAGAGGGGAAAAGATCATTTATTAAGGACCTACTATGTGCCAGACATTGTTCTGAGCACATTACAAATTTTATCTCATTTGGAACTCACAACAACCCCGGGAGGTAGGTGTTATTATTATCCTTATTTTACAGTTGAGGAAACTGAGGCAAATAGAAGTTAAGTGACTAGCCCAGAGACTTACAGCTAATAAGTGTCTGAGGCCGGATTTGAAATCAGGTCTTCCTAACTCAATGCTCTTCCATTGCATTACTTATCTACCTCATAGACATGCAGGCTGCATTTTCAGATATGTGGCTATAATGAATTTTCTTGTATGTCACATTTCTCTCAGTATTCTCCCTGAATTACACCTTTTGGGTAAGTAGGTCAGTCAACTAGCTTTTGTTAAACCATCTACCACATGCCAGGCCTGTGCTAAGTACCATACATATCTTTAAAAAGATATGTAAGATGGGGAGAAAAAATGGGCAGCATCTGTCCAGGAAGAAAGCTGAACAAAGTAACCAGATTCTACTCTGTCTGTATCTTCTGTGCACCCAGTTAAGTATGTGCTGTCTCCTGCTTTACAATTCATGATACTTGAGGGCATCCTGTTTTTCTTGTGTTGCCCGAGCTTTCCACACTGCCTACTGAAAAGATCGTGGCTGGAATTTTCATTTCTTTTCCCCAAGAAGGGTTTTGCTTCCCCCCCCCCCCCAGTTATTCCTGTGATTAGATCATGCAATGTTGTATGACAAAGCAAACCAACCAACAAAAAAACAGACACACCAGGAGCTGGCTATTTTATGACAGCACTATCCGGGAAGCCCTTACTTGGTCCTTTTCCCTCCGCCATAAATCCAAGGCCTAGAGCTTTCTGACCCTAGATTGTCAGCAGACTTTCAGGAGTGAAAAAGTTGGGGAGGGAGAAAGAAAAAGAAAGTGAAGATGAGTGTTTGGTTTAGCATAGAGAGTAAATAGAACTAAGACTCAACAGTAACTCATATAGCATTTTCCTTACAACAATCTGAGGAGGTGAACCCCCTCAGATTTAAAGCTAATAGGGACCTAATCCAAAGCTCATTTTACAGGCAGGGAAACTGAGACCCAGAGGGGTTGTCATAAAAACTTTGAGAAAGTGCACTTCAGTGATCTCAGTTTTTCTTGGAAATCAGTCAAGCGGAACATTTAACCAAAGTTTAAACCAACTAGTTATCTTTTTCCCTCTCAGATATTTTGAATTTCATAAAGAAATAATCAGCAAATACCACAGCATGGATTTGTAGTTCAAATTTATTCCTAAGGGCACTGAACAGTAAGTAACACAACTACAAGTCAAACCAGAACTACAACTAGCATAGGCAGAATGGGCATTTGTCCAAGGGCACCAACATCCATGGGGGCAGGCTTCCTGCTTTCTGTGATTGCCATCTTTCAGCCTCCTCTAGGTCTCTGGGCAGCACAATTGGCCCCAGCCTGCCCCCTCCAGGCTTGTCTAGGCCCTACATTCTTCATAAACAAATTCACCCATATCCCCTCCCCCCCACCACACACACACACACACACAAACACACACACACACACACACACACACACTCAGTCTCACTCTCTCCCTCTCTCTCTCCTTACATATATATGTATCTTTATCTCTTTCTCTCTCTCACACACACACACACACATACAAACACACACACACACACACACACACACACACACACATTGGGGCATCCTTCTCTGGCAACACTTATTGTAAGACTGTCCGCCTCATCACCACTGTGCTCCTTCTTCCCTCAACTGAATTTGCCCCAAGTATAGTTACTGCTGGTTAAAGCTCTGATTCAAACTCCAGATCTTCTGTCACTGAATCCAATGGTCTTTGTATATATTCTTGTTTTACAGATGAGGAATCTGAGGCACTGAGAAATTAAGTGACTTGCCTATGGTCACTTAGCTAGTATTTGCACTGTGATCTAAATACCAGTTTCCTGCATCTAATTCCACCTCCATTTCTTCTTCTTCCCCCCTGAACTGCTCTGTCTCTTAATCCTGTTTGTCTCAGTTTCCTCATCTGTAAAATAAGTTGGAAAAGAAAATGTCAAACCACCTCAGTAACTTAGCCAAGAAAACTCCAAATGGGGTCACAAAGAGTCTGGCATGACTGAAACAACTAAACAACAACAAACAGTGTGGATTTGTGGCCCACTGAATACCTTACCAGTTGTCCTAGGCTTCAGTGTAATATATCAGTCACATTTTCAAACTCTGGTTGTATTAATAAAGTAGCAAATTCCATGCTACCTAAAGAGATGGAAGAATCACAAATCCTGAAGTATTAGGAGAGCACTATGGCAGTTGATTTAATTACTGGACAGGTGATTTGCAGAATTTATCAGTGAAATCATTGCCATATTTCATACAGATAATTTTTTCATTTCATTTTCCAGTCAAAGGAATATGTTAATTTCTAGTTGTGGGAATATGTGGGTTTTCTTATGGCAATGTTATTTAGCTTGGAGAGGAGGGAACATTTGTGTATTTTGGCATTATCTGAGCAAAAA